AAGAATTTATACCACATTTTATATCTATGTCTGTTACCCTGTTATACATGTTTCTAGCAAACTATGCTGGACAAGAAATCACGGATCATAATAGTCATGTATTTTCCACTGCGTAAGAAATTTAAAATTTAAGATGTTCATATCTCTACTATCTATTGCGAATATAAAATAAAGAGATTTGTATAGTTCAAAAAATTTATAAGCTTATTTATCTAAAATTACTGCGATATTTTCGAATGCCTGGTTATTTGTTTCTATGTAGATATAACGTTCGTTGGCATAATGCACCATTACGTATACAGAAGCTGATATTATTTCTATTACAAATGGGTAATAAAACTTTCGGTCTAAATGTGGGTGGACTGTTTATGGCATCTTTAAGTTGCTTTACCTCAGTATATAATATGTTACATATTATGAAATATTATAGAATGTAAAGTATAATGCATATCATATATGATAAATATTTCATTGCAGCTAATGAGTGCATCGATATCTTACTTCACGGTTATGTATTCTACGCTACAATAATATCAAAATATATAATCTATTAATAAATTGTAGTTAAGTAGGTAAGTAAGAAAATAAACGCCCGATTTTGATGTATTTTTAATTATTTGATAAAATCATTGAAGATCGAATAATATTACTTTTTAAAGTGATTATAATATAAGTAAAAAAAAATTAATTAAAGAGATATAACTTGCAATTTTTTTAAATATGTATATTATGCTAATAACAATAACATTATCTTTATCCTTTCTTTATTGTACCTATTATTTTTATAAAGTAGCATATTCACAATTGTTTATATTCTAATAAATATCTCATTTTTAAATATTTTTTCTTGCAGTAAATGCAGTACACGCAATATAAAAAAACGTGAACAACAAGATATTAATAAATAAATTGTATTGGTATAACAACTGTGAAATACAATGCTTGTAACGATGTTGAAAGGAAAAAAGAAGAAATGCCATTAGTAGAGCTTTATCATAAAAAAAGATAGTATATAAAATAAATATATAAATAAGTAAATATATGTACAATTAACAAAAAGTGTATTATTTAATATATTATATTTAAATATATAATAATTTTTCGAACTGTTATCAGAGATCAGTATTAAATTTAACATTGCGATACATTTTATGAATAATATTTTTATATATAAGAATCATGTTAAAATAATGGCTTATGGCTAATAATGGTTTATGTTCTCTTAAAAAATAAATAAAAAAATCCCATCTGTGCATCTTACATTTAAAATGAGACGATATAATCATATGCTTGAAAAAAATACAAAGAAAAATATGATAGAAGTTAAAAAAATCTAAAGCTGATAATTTTGTCGATACTAATATATGATACTATTTGATTAAATTAGAAGTATCCAGTAGTATATATTTCATTTATTAATCATACAAAAAAATTAATAAACCTATCATTGTAATTCTTCCTCTGATAATTCTTTTTATAAGTTTTAATAATAATAAGTTTTAAGACTATGAAAAATCTAATTTTCGGATAATTCCATGTAATTTTAATGCTTCCATGTAATTTATTGCTTTCTCAGAAAGCATTGGATTAAAGTTTCGTCTAATTAAATTTTATTTAATATTGAAAATAAAATATTTAAAAATAATATTTTAAGTTAAAATTAATATTAATTTTTAAACAATTATTTCCAAAATATCACACTAAAATATCAAAAAATTCTTATATATAGCATAATTATATTATTAAATTGTTATTAAATATATTTTTACACTTTATTTTAAAGTTATAATGTATGTCAAAATTATATCTGTATTTTTATTATTATTATACGTTGTATTAGTTTTATATTATAGGCCTTTTAATTACATTTTTAACTATATTTCTTTATATAAAACTATGAACGTATAAAAGCACGATATACATGATAAAAAAAAAGCAAATTTACAAAATAAAAATTTTAAAAATAATAACAGACGATAGAATATTAAAAATAAATGAATAAATTAATGACGCAAGTAATAGTATTATCATTTTTGGATATAATGCTCTCGATGATATTACTAGACAAATGTTATTAAAATAATGTTATTACAATTATATTTTAGAATCAAATTAGATCAAATTAGATCAATGAATATCTAACAGATAAATGTACATTAATTGTCTAACAATGTGTGATTCAGATATAACAAATATTTAAATTAAAATCTCTGTTAAGCTTTGTTTGATAAACATTAAAAGTGTCAAGAATCTATGTTATTATATAGCTTACTAGTGTAATTTTCACAGTTGTCACACACGTAAATATCCCAAACTTATGAATGAGACTCTTTTCCCTCAAAGAACAAACGTATCCGACGAGTGCGCGGACTGGAATGAAACACATGAAAGTGCGAAAATGAAAGACGGTGACTACGCTTGCGCAAGCTTCAATTCAGAAGACATGTGAGTTTCTCAGGTAAGAAATAAACATTCGTTGAGTTTTTTTGATGTCGAAATCGATCGTTTAATTCACTAACATTTTCCCGAGCAAAAATATTAAACTACGTGCGATCTCTTTTTGATTCCATATTGTTATTTCAATGTTATTTTGTCCAACACCTAATAAGTTATATTATTAATCTTAGAAGTTAGAAAAAGAGAAAAATTATAAAATATTTAATCGAGTGAAAAGAGGGAATAAAAACTAAAAGTTCGCTGATATTTTATAGTATATATTAGATGCATATCGATGCTTAACGAAAGATGATTTCTTTAGAAACTCAGCATTTTAATCTAAGCCGAATTCTTCTGCTCACGATTGGCTTATGGCCTTACGAGCGATCAAAATTCGTTTTATTTCAACAGATTATACTTTTTGGTATTTTAACGAGTTTTGTTGCATTTCAGGTATGCTAAAACTTCCAATCGTTATTTAATTTTCATCATATTCTACAATCTTATTTAATGCTTTAATACCAGATACAATTACATTACATTTAAACTTTGCGAGTAATCATATTATATTAAATTATTTATGTAATCATATTATATCTGAATTTGATATAATTATTTTATTAAATTCGAGAATAATTGATTATTTTAGACATATAATTAATTAATACCAGAATACTTTTTTTAAATATAACATATTCATTAAATTCATTCATTATAGTTTACAGTATTTTTAACTACAAAATGCACAATTAATTTTATTATAAGAATACTTTCCTTCATACTATTTTTCATAGCGTTTATAATTAAATACAATTCATTTTGGATAAATAGTCAATCCGTAAGTTAAGTCTTTATTATATGCATGCAAATAGACATCCACTATAAATAATGTTTTTTTTTATGCAATAACATTTCCCAAATTTCACAACGAGAAGCGTTGTGAATAAAATATTATTGACACAATAGGTGAAAAATTTTTTGGAGGAGCTTAAACATGTTTGTAATGACTTGAAAGACGAAAATGAAATTAATGTTATGAAAAAGTATGGGAAAAACACAGAATCTTACACAGCTAAAATTATACGTAAGAAAATAATTATTTATATGTATTAAATATCATAAAAAATATTTTATTAAATAAAATATTTCTCTCATACAATAATAACAAAAATTAAATTATCGTCTTATTATTATTTAATTATCAATTATTTCGTTGATTTATATACATATATATTTCCTATCATATTTTATCAATAAGAATTTTTAATAAAAAAATACGTAATTAAAAATAAATATAGAAATATAATTATATTTTCATGAAAATATATTTTAATTATCAAAATTAAAAGTTAGTTTAATAATAGAAATGTTTGAAGTTGTCATGCAATTATCTTTTTTTCTTTTTGACAAGAGTATCTCATTGAGAAAAATTCAAAACTCATTAAACTTGAAATTGGAAACTTATAATAAATAAATAATATAATTTATATTGCCTCTCTTGTATCTCTAGTGATCACGATCATCAGTACAGTCAGTATTATTTTTGCATCAATTTGGCCACTTATTCTCGATATTATTTTACCTAAGAATGAATCACGACCGCATCTCGCAATGCATATCATGACTGAATACTTTATCGATCAGAAAAATACTATTATTTAATTTTATTTCATATGAATGCAGCTTTTTGCATAGGGGCAATTACGATGATAGCGACAGGAACGATGCTAATAGGATATCTTAAACACGCTTGTGGAATGTTTAGAATTGCCAGGTACGAAAAAAGATATAAAAATAAAAAAACAATTTGAAAGTAATAGATGTTTCAAACAAACATAAAAATAAGGTATAGTTTTGATTATTTTATATTATTATTGGGTATATTGAGTATATTAAATATATTATTTATAGTTATAGATTTGAAAAAGCAATGATCATTAATAATTTACAAAATAGATTCGACAACGAGATTATAATTTATAAAGGAATAATTTATGCCGTGAATATACACCGTAAAGCTCTACAGTTAGTATTTATTTAATAATCCTTGCAATATGTATATTGTATATAACAACATTTTATTATATTTGAAGGTTCTCCAAGTCTTTAATATCTTGTTTTGAAGGATCCTTCTTTTTTTTAATAGCGGTTGGTGTTCTTAATTTAAGCTTCAATCTTTGTCGAGTGAGTTTCTATATATTCCTCCTTTGTTATAGTTTTATACAAATATTATCATTACATTTATATTCAAAATTTTAATTGATTCAGTATCAACAAAAAGTCCGGATAATAAATTTATATAGCCGCGTAGAAACATAATTGTTCGTCAAATTTTGATCGCATACATACACATACAATTCAAAATTAGTACTTGAGATTTCCATATTAATGTACAATTCTAATTAATATCCAAAATAAGATAATTGTATGATTATGAGATACTCTATATATCATTAATCGTAGTTATGTTATTTTAGATATTTCAAATTGTATCATTTGGAGGTAACAAAGAGGAATTCATATTGCATCTCATAACTATAACTGTCACCCTGTTATATATGTTTCTAGCCAATTATGCCGGACAGGAAATCACAGATCACAATAATCACGTATTTTTTACTGTGTAAGCAACAATTAAATACAATGTTCATGATTCTGTGTTAGTAACTGTTGCAAGTATAAATACCAAGGATTTGTATACTTCGAAAAACCTATCGTGCTAACTGTTTAAAATTATTGCCATATTCTTTTATCCTTCATCAATTTATTGCCTGGTCATTTATTTCTAGATATAACGTTCGTTGGTACATCGCACCGTTACACATACAGAAATTAATATTATTTCTATTACAAATAGGTAATAAAGCTTTTGGTCTGAACGTGGGCGGATTGTTTGTAGCATCTCTAAACTGTTTTGCCTCGGTAAGAAACACATTATATATTAGAATATTATATGTAATGTATATAACGTATAGTAATATAAAATGAAAAAGAATATATTTTACTGTAGTTAATGAGTGCATCGATATCTTACTTTACTGTTATGTACTCTACACAGCAATGACATGAAAATATAATATTTAATACAATATTAGAATGAAGTAAGTGTAAAAAAAACTATGTCCAATTTCTATTTCAATTAATTATTTGGTAGTTATCAAAGATGCAACGCTATTCTTCCGTTTTAAATCATTAAATCGTTTTAAGCATTAATAATCTCATTGATCCGTTTATTCGTAACATTTAAATTTTTGAAAAAGTAATTTTACAACCGTTTAATAAATTATTTTAGTAAATATTTAAAATATCTTTTCTTGCAGTATATGTAAAAAATATGAATAACGTGATTTTAATAAACAAATTATTAATTTGAATAACAATGAGATGTTTACGACGATAACATTGTAAAAAAAATAAAATACAGTAAAAATAGTTTTACTATAAAAAAAGAATGGCATACAAAAAAGTGATTTTTTTATTCAAAAAGAAATAATAATTTAAAAATTTAAATTTAAATTTAACTTTAACTTAAGTTAAAGTAATTTTAAGTTTAAATTTTTTAAGTTTAAGTCATAATAGTAAAGTAATTTCTTTGCCCACCCAAATTTTTGTAACATAATAATTTCTTTGCCTACCCGAATTTTTATACCTGCCTATCCGCAAATTCTTTTGTAATAATCCTACTCGCGAACTTTCATAATATTCCTACCTACCTGCAAATTTTATAGTATCCTTATTCACGAATTCTTAGTGTTCTTACCTATCCGCGAATTCCAATAGAATTTCTATTCCTACCCGTAAGTTCAGATAATATATATACCTATCCAGATTTTTATTTTACATTGCACTAATCCTAACAGTATAACTAACCCGCGATTAACCGATGGGAAATGTGAATTTAATAAAATAAACGAGGGAAGAACCTGGACAGTATATGACAGTATATCCTTATATTTTCGTTAATAATTACATACAACTGCACGTATATAACACAATCTTTACTTAGCTATATAACTCTTTCTATATAACTCTTTCGATCAATATTATTATTGATCTTCAGCTATTGTTCTTCAGGCCAGATTTTGTTGGGATCTATCTTTTGTTGTTCCTAGCCACGTTGTTTTATTGCCAATTTTGGCCATTTAGCCAGAAATTCTGGCCATACATAGGTCAAAGAGAGAAAGGAGATATACTCCTTCTATTCCAGCTAATTATTAATGCCGATAAATAATATGCTCAATTTTATCGCGTGCATCAATCGTGATATCGTATCGTTCGCCATTCAATTATTAATAAAGTTCAAAATTTTCAACAACATTTTGCATAATATTAATTCAATCAATCGTGTTTTTTCGAAATATACGAAATATACGTGATTAACATTCGATTTAAAATTTATAGAAATTCTCATATTTCGATATCAATTATTACTTTTCAATTTAATTTAAAAGAATTTATTTGTATCAGAATAAAAATTTGAGAAAGAAATAAATAATATTGCATAAAAATAGATAAATAAAAATAAAAACAATTATAAATTGTATAATGAAATATTTGCCCGAACCGAAAAAATCTAAGACTCTTTTTATTACGTCCGTATTTCCGTAAAATCGAAACTATTATTTGAATCTTATCACATAAATTAGGCGAGAGCGATGTGAAATATTCAGATGAATGACACAAGATCTAAACGGAATAGTAAATATCCCGCATAAGTATCAATACTGTGCGATATACAATTTTATAAATTATTATATCGATATAAACTCTAGATATTGTATATCAAATTTATCAAATATAGTGACTTAATAAATAAATAACTTTAATAAACAATGTTGTTTAGAAAATCTATGATATGTTAACAACATGTATATTATTCTAAGTCACGTATTAAATTTAAAATCAATCATTTCAAGATTTTAATACAAAACAGATGTATTTTAAATAAAAATAAATTGATAATTATAAATTATCAATTTAGCAACAAAATATTTACTAGATCTCATGTCATGTTGTTTCGTGTTAACTTGTATAAAACCAAGTTCTTAAGTAATATACATGGATGAATTAAACATGTTTAGAGTTAAATCGGCATATTTGTTATATAATGTTATATAATTGATTATTACTGTTTCTTATTCATTTATTTATGTTTGTGGTATTACTAAAGAAATTTGAGATTTGAAAGAATATTCATATATATTATTTATATATCTCACTTTTACAAACCGATTTAGATATTTAATCCTGGTAAAATAGAGGAAAAGGATGTAAATAGGTGAATAAAGAACACATAATGTAAATGTATTCTTATTACACATAAATATAAAATACGAATATTTTTTTATAATCCTTGTTTCATGTATTTACTGAGAAATATCAAAAAATATCATGGAAAACTTATTGCTTTTGAAATATATTATTACATTAATATAACTCTTTTCTTTTATGTGATTTTATGTTATATTTCTATTATTACTAAGTATTTACTTAAAAAATTTGAAAATGAATATAATGATTTATAGCTTTATAGCAAATAAGCTCTATTAACACATTTCCAAAGAAACATCTAATAAATTCAAACTTTATTATTTATTAATTATTTATATTATTTTATATATAACATATACAATTATATATAACACATGTAAATATATCTAATTTCTTAAAATATTTAAATTATTTATATTTTTTTGCAAGAATATATAACTTTTGAATGATTAATATCGATACTTCACAATTAAAATATAAAAAAATATATATGTATAATAATGAGATATTGACACAATGAATTTTATTTCATGAATTTTATGTGTCTACAAGTGCATTATTGTAATACAATAGATCAAGAAGTAATATTCATTCCAGGATTAAATATACACTCTAAATTGTTTAAATATCTATCCATTTTAAGGCAACGAATCCGTGAAAATATATTCAATATTTTTATGATGAATATATAAAAAATAATCTAATATAATTTTCACAAATTTGTTATCCTAATATAAAAAAATTCATTACTCACCGACCCGATGCGCAACAGCGGAGTTAATCTGCCACGTAGCTACGACGATTCTGTAATACACAAATAAAATATTCAAATTATAGCTCTGAATGATAGATATTTTAGAAAGTAATTCTTACGCGTATCATCTATTTGTTTTTCAATTAAATATTTATTAAAATATATAATTTATAATTTCCAATAATTATATGTAAAATTTCTAAAAAAGATCTTTATAGAAATAAAATCATAAAATTATTATAAAATTTCAAATTGTTTCTCTCTTTTCCAAATTGTACAAATTTTAAATTATCAATATCTAATAATCCAAATAAATAATTCATTCGTTTTAATGAAAATAATTTTAATTTTATCAATAAGAAATGTATATTTACCGCAAGGTTGCTCCGCCGGTGCCCGATGCCTCTCCTAGGCCTCCTCCTCCTCTCACAGGATGTTAGATCGTTTCCTCGCAGCACAGGACACTCGCGAAAAACACTCGCGAATTATTATAATCGCGCGCGGACTAACTTTCAATAAAAGTCTTTCGCGCGATATTTGATTTAGTCCGATTACTTACCGCACTCCCGAAGCAAACGCGCGACGCGACGAACTGGCTGCAGTTCGTTCATTCACAATTAAATCGGCGACGGAACGTCGATTCAAAACCGACGATTAATGCGTAAAACGCATTATCAACTTTGCCACATAAGAGCCATTTCAATAACTCGTGGCTATGCTGTGTTAGTATATTATTAATAACAGTAATATTACTTAATATAACGTTAATATTAATGTTATTAATAACAGTGCAACGAGTACTGGTTAGCTTCTTCGTCTTTGGGGTACGTACTCAAGTAGTACAAATTAATCGGCAAATTAGCAGTCAGCCAACATTCTGCCGATTAATAATGCTGCTTAGGTAACCCCCCTCGGAATACTGAGCCCCTCTGCCACGTCAAGGCCGTACCCATTAGAGGGGGTATTATTTTTATAAAAAGTTATGTTAAAAACTTCAAAGGAAAAATCGCGAAGTATGTATATAATCTTGTTATAAAGTTTCAGTATGTTTACGAATCATTAATTATGTGAGTTAATAAGCATTTATTATTATATAAGATATTATTTCATAAGATATAACAACGTTTA